CTATCTATCTATCTATCTATCTATTAGGCTTGGGCGGTTCCGTTCGTTAATTTTGTAATTCATTATTAATTCGTATTTAAATTAGCTTACGATCCAATATTGAGCCATGCTGGAATAGTGTGAGGAGTAATTAAGAATCGAAACAATTTTTTCAATTTATTTCGTAATTATTTCGAAATTATTTCGTAATTAATTCGTAATTAATTCATAATTATTTTCGCATGTCTGGTGCAAGTTTTATAGTTGTTGTTTCTTTTATCACACCCACAGTCAACAACAGAGGGAGAGGGAAGCTTCAGAAGTTCCCCCTGTCCCGTTTGGAGGGTTTTTTAGCATATTGTGCAATCTCGTCCGCCATTAACGAATCGATTCATAATTTTAAGAAATTTCGTAAATTTCAAAATTTTTTAAAGTAAAATTTTGGAATTATTAAAGAAAACAAAACGCAAGGGCCCCCTAAAAACAAAACGACTTTAGAACCAAATTTTTCCGTGGTTACCCAAGCCTACTATCTATCTATCTATCTATCTATCTATCTATCTATCTATCTATCTATCTACCCACCCATCCACCCATCCTTCCATCAATAGATGCACATGCAATATATACACAAATAACCGGATACAAGGAAAAAGGTGGCACGGCTTGAAGCAATTCTGTTCCTTCATCCTTGTTGGAAAGCAGCCATTTTCAATGGAATAATGTGAGCTTCGAAATTCAAGGGAAGCTGGGTAGGAGCCAGGGAAAGAAAGACGCAAAGCTGACCTCTTAATTTATCAGATGCAGCTAAAAACGCAATGCCGGCTTCCTCAAAAGCTTTTGCCCGCATGGCATCTCAATGCAAGATCATACAACATTTCTTAATGATTTGTTTTCTCCATTATTGATGACTTAATGGCATTTTTTTACAGATTTGATTCATACCTTTAGAACAGTGTTTCTCAACCTTCCTAATGCCGCGACCCCTTAATACGGTTCCTCATGTTGTGCTGTCCCCCAACCATAAAATTATTTTCGTTGCTACTTCATAACTGTAATTTTGCTACTGTTATCAATTGTAATAATAAGATCTGATGTATTCACTGGACCAAATTTGGCACAAATATCCAATACACACAAATTTGAATACTGGTGGAGTTGGAGGGGGTTGATTTTGTCATTTGGGAGTTGTAGTTGCTGGGATTTATAGTTCACCTACAATCAAGGAGCATTCTGAAATCCATCAATGATGGAATTAAACCAAACTTAGCACTTAGAACTTCAATGACCAACAGGAAAAAAGCTGGAAGGGTTTGGTGGGCATTGACCTTGAGTTTGGGAGTTGTAATTTACTTACATCCTGAGAGCACTGTGGACTCAAACAATGATGGATCTGGACCAAACTTGGCACAAATACTCAATATACCCAAAAGTTAACACTGGTGTAGTTTGGAGGAAATACACCTTGACATCTGGGAGTTGTAGTTGCTGGGATTTATAGTTCACCTACAATCATAGATCATTCTGAACCCTACCAACGATAGAATTGGGCCAAACTTCCCACACAGAAACCCCGTGATCAACAAAAAATACTGTTTTTTCTGATGGTCTTTGGTGACCCCTCTGACACCCCCTTGCGACCCCTCCGGGGGTCCCGACCCCCAGATTGAGAAACACTGCTTTAGAACATCGCAATCAATTAAGTTTTCTGGAGGAATTCCTGGATGACAGAGGGAACTCTCCTTTACCTGCTTTAATATTTCTCTTTCTCAGCCGAAAGAGTTTGCAAATTGCAAGGCATTTCAAGTAAATACATTTTAAAAAGTAGAACAAGGACTAGATTTGTTAAACGATGCAAAGGATCTCGATCAGTCATTTCCTTCCCTCTGTTTGTGACACACAGACATTTGATTTCAATGAAACAATTGCATTTACTCCAATTGTTTCATTATGACCAACTGTTTTATTGTATGTCATTTTGGGAAACCGACTCATGCTTCTGTTCAACAGCAAAATGTCAACCCTCACTTCTTATTTTATTATTTTGTAAGGCAGCAAAGTCCCCTCTTAAGGAACATAACAACAACAACAACAAAACTTTATTTATACACCGCTCTATCTCCCCAAGGGGACTCAGAGCTGTTTCCAAGTGACATAATCAATACATACAAAGAGAACAGCGTGAACATAAAATTAACAAGACAAAATAAGCATTAAAAACCACAATAACACATATATTTAAAATAATCCTGCCTGTTCAAGGCAGTTTAAAAGGCCAGACCGGGCTAATGCGATTTTAGAGGGCCTGGGAAATTAGGTAGAGTCTATGGCTGTACATTTCCAGGGCCTAATAGAAGAAAGTGACCTGGGTAATTGGTAGAAGAAGATATGGCCAATTTCAACAGTATCTGGGGCAGAGCTAGAACTAGTCGTTCTCAAAGGTTTGTTTAAACCACCAGGTCTTCAGGCTCTTACGAAAGGAGGGGAGGGATGGGGCCTGTCTTATTTCTCCAGGAAGGGCGTTCCAGAGGCGAGGGGCCACCACCGAGAAGGCCCTCTCTCTCATCCCCACCAACCGTGCTTGTGACGGTGGTGGGAGCGAAAGGAGGGCCTATCCATAAAGCTAATGATGGAATATATATATATATTCTGCCAACCTAGCAGTTCAAAAACATGCAAATGTGAGTAGATTACTAGGTACTGCTCTGGCAGGAAGGTAATGGCACTCCATGCAATCATGCTGGCCACGTTACCTTAGAGGTGTCTAAGGACAACACTGGCTCTTCGACTTAGAAATGAAGATGAGCACCATCCCTCCAGAGTCGGGCACAACTGGACTTAATGTCAGGGGAAGCATTTACCATATATATATATATATATATATATATATATATATATATATATGTGTGTGTGTGTGTGTGTGTGTGTGTGTGTGTGTGTGTGTGTGTGTATGAAAGAATAGTAAAAAGGAGAAGGATTTGGAAAGTACAATTCCCTGAGATTATTCTATCTCTATGCATCCATATTACAAGTTCAAGAAAAAAGAAACTCAAGCTGAATCCCGTGGGTCATTTTAGACATGTTCTAGGCCTGACATTAAGTTTTGCAGTACATTTACACTGTACAATTTATTTATTCATTCATTTATTTACTATATTTGTATACCACTCTTCTCAGCCCTCGGGTGACTCAGAGCGGTTCACAATAGCAAAATTCAATGCTTAAAACATCATAAAACAGTTTAAAACAATTAAAACAATAGCATTATAACAATCAATTAAACATCATAACATCTTATTATCATCTCGTAGTTAAAATCAAGATCCAGTCTCATCATCCAGTTGTTCCATATTCCTATATTCGTTACACTGCCTATTCAAATGCCTGCTTGAACAACCAGGTCTCCACTTTCCTCCAAAATGCTAACAGGGAGAGGGCCGATCTAATTTCTGTAGGAAGGGCGTTCCACAGCCGAGGGGCCACCACTGAGAAGGCCCTGTCTCTTGACCCCGCCAGACGTACTTGTGATGCAGGCGGGACCGAGAGCAGGGCCTCCCCAGATGATCTTAACGTCCTAGCTGGTTCATAGGAGGAGATGCGTTCGGACAGGTAAGTTGCGCCAGAACCGTTAATGCAGTTTGACACCATTACAATTGTAATGGATTAATACTATGGAGATGTAGTTTTTAGGGTTGTGCGCAGAACCATTTCCCTTCATTTCATCCGTTACTTCGTCACTTTTGTTACATAATGGGAAAGTCCGAAAATGTATGGAAATGAGCTCAACACAAAAGCAAGCGGGAGATGGTCTTGGCTACTCGCCTGCTTACTGGGATCTGCACGCATTATCCGCTGATACATCACACAGTCCTAGACATCTGGGAAGTGTCCAATGTGTGATCCAATACAACAGCCAGCAGAATGATCTTGTTTGTGGTGGATGCATCTTGTTGTTTTTCAAATAATATTAACTTTATTTTTCTACCCCGCCTCCATCTCTCCTAAAGAACTTGGGGTGGCTTACAAAGGGACAAGCCCAGGGAGCACAAAGTTAAAAAAATAACACAATAAAATAGCATAACAACAAAACCAAATAAAAACATATCAGAATAAAAAATAACATCATAAAAACAGTAGGTTCTTGTAGGTTTTTTCGGGCTATAGGGCCATGTTCTAGAGGCATTTCTCCTGACGTTTCGCCTGCATCTATGGCAAGCATCCTCAGAGGTAGTGAGGATGCTTGCCATAGATGCAGGCGAAATGTCAGGAGAAATGCCTCTAGAACATGGCCCTATAGCCCGAAAAAACGTACAAGAACCTAGTGATTCCAGCCATGAAAGCCTTTGACAATACATCATAAAAACAGTCCCATACAGAATGATAAAAGTGCTGAATTCAGAGGACTCTGGGTTTGCGCAAATTCCTAGATAGAGCTAAGGGAAAGTGCAAAATTCAGAAGGCAGGGCTGGGAGGATAATGTTCATGGGCATTAAAATGTCAGGATTGTAGAGCGGAGGGCCATGCTAAAGTGCTGGAACTTAGGTAACATTGGGCAATGTCTAGCCCTGGTTGATCTTACGATTTTATTGTGAGCTTTACTCACAATAAGTCATGGAAGGAAGAGTTTGGCATGTTTTTTTGAACAGAGAGATTCCGCACATTGGTGTTACGTTGCTTGTTTTGAATCCACACATCACCCTTCTCCCTATCTTTCCTTTCTTTCCTGGCTTCTTTTATTCCAAACAGAAGCGGCATTTCAGAGTGCCGAACAAATAACGTAAAGTCACAACAAAAGCTAAATGGATCAGCAAATGGAGCAGTGACGGAAAGCAAATCGAACCACTGCTTCGCGTTGCGTGACAATCAGCAGGAAAAAGAGAACAATGATTTGAGATGCTTATTTTCCTCCAGTGCTTTCTAGGAAGAATACTTATAAAATATCTGGGGAGAAAGCATTCCACATTTTCGGTATGATGCTCAGAAAAACTCCTCTTGAATGTTTTCCTTTCTTTCTTCTGAAGCTGGATGCCAATGAAGAAGCTGTGAAAGATCAGGCGAAGTCATGATGTGCCAAAAGAAAAACATGCGATACTTTGCTGTCGCCGAAGACAAACAAGGCAAGACTTCAATTTTTGATGCAAGCTGATGTTTTAACACCAATGCCATTGAGGTACAGTCAATCCTCTGTATCCATAGATTTGATAGCCACTATATATGTATGGCTTGACAATTTCCCTACAAATTCAAAAAAAGTTGGATGTTGTGATTTCATAGAAGAGATACTGTATCAACCTGGGGGCTGGGACCCCTGTGGGGATTGCAAGGGGGTGTCAGAGGGGTTGCCAAAGACCATCAGAAAACATAGTATTTCCTGTTGGTCATGGGGGTCCTGTGTGGGAAGTTTGGCCCAATTCTATCATTGGTGAGGTTCAGAAAGCTCTCTGATTGTAGGTGAACTATAAATCCCAGCAACTACAACTCTCAAATATCAAGGTCTATTTTCCCCAAACCCCACCAGTGTTCACAGGAGCCCCCAGTGGTCCAATGGGTTAAACCCCTGTGCCAGTAGGACTGAAGACCGACAGGTTGCAGGTTCGAATCTGGGGAGAGTGCGGATGAGCTCCCTCTATCAGCTCCAGCTCCTCATGCGGGGACATGAGAGAAGCCTCCCACAAGGATGATAAAACATCAAAACATCTGGGTGTCCCCTGGGCAACGTCCTTGCAGACGGCCAATTTTCTCACACCAGAAGCAGCTTGCAGTTTCTCAAGTTGCTCCAGATACAACAAAAAAACAAAAAATACCCCCCCCCCCAAAAAAAACCCCTCCAGTGTTCACATTTGGGCATATTGAAGATTTGTGCCAAGTTTGGTCCAGATCCATCATTGTTTGAGTCCACAGTGCTTTCTGGATATAGGTGAACTACAACTCCAAAACTCAAGGTCAATGCCCACCAAACACTTCCAGTATTTTCTGTTGCTCATGTGAGTTCTGTGTGCCATGTTTGGTTTGATTCCATCGCTGGAGGAATTCAGAATGCTCTTTTATTGTAGGTGAACTGTAAATCCCAGCAACTTCAACTCCCAAATGATATTGATCCCATCACCCAGCCCCACCAGTATTCAAATTTGGGCATATCAGGTATTTGTGCCAAATTTGGTCCAGTGAATGAAAATACATCCTGCATATCAGATATTTACATTACGATTCATAACAGTAGCAAAATTGCAGTTACGAAGTAGCAACAAAAATAATGTTATGGTTGGGGGTCACCACAATATATTAAGGGGTTGCGACATTAGGAAGATTGAGAACCATTGCACTACACCATTGAGCACCCATGGATTTTGGTATCCATGGGACTTGTCATGGAGCTAAACCCCAACAGATACTTATGGTCGAGTGTATGTCAAATCTTTCCCAATGAGCCCCGTTGCTGAGCAGGGCTGTTTCAAATCGAGGGTGCATCTCCAATGTAAAACAAATGCAGTTTGACACAGTGTGGCTCAGTGTTATAGGCTCCTGAGAGTTGTGGTTTAACAAGGTCTTGAGCTTTCTCTGTCAATTATCGCTGGTGCCTCACCGAACTATAGCTCCCAAAATTCCATAGTATGAAGCAGGACAATCTCAGTGGTGTCAAGCTGCATTCATTCTACAGCAGTAAAGGACCTTGGAGGGTTGTTCATGGCCCACAGGCTTTCGTTTGGAGATCCCTGTTTTACAGCATAGATGCACCTGAGATTCATGGAGGCATCTCATTCATAAGTTCATCAGAAAGTTGAGTTGTTTACAAACAACAAATATGGTGGTTCATTGCTGGTGAAAATTACACCTCCATCCACCATTACAAGTGAAGGCAGTAAGCTTGATGGTAGAGCACAATAGGCAAACTGTATGACTCACATCTCTAGCTCTATATCAGTGGTTCTCAACCTTCCGAATGCCGCGACCCCTTAACAGAGTTCCTCAGGTTGTGTTGACCCCCAACCATAACATTATTTTCATTGCTACTTCATAACTGTGATTTTGCTACTGTTCTGAATCGTAATGTCAGTATCTGATATGCAAGATAGATTAGCATTCACTGGACCAAATCGGGCACAAATACCCGATACATCCAAATTAGGGAGTTGTAGTTGCTGGGTTTATAGTTCACCTACAATCAAAGAGCATTCGGTACTCCAACAATGATGGAATTAAACCAATCTTGGCACACATGACTTCCATGAGCAACAGAAAATACTGGAAAAGTTTGGTGGGCATTGATTTTGAGTTTGGGAGTTGTAGTTCACCTACATCCAGAGAGCACTGTGGACTCAGACAATGACGGATCTGGACCAAACTTGGCACAAATACTCAATATGAACAAACATGAACACTGGTGGAGTTTGGGGAAAACAGGCCTTGGCATTTGGGAGTTGTTGCTGGGATTTATAGTTCACCTATAATCAAAGATTTTTCTGAACTGTACCAACAATAGAATTGAGCCAAACTTCCCACACAGAATCCCCATGATCAACAGAAAATACTGTGCTTTTTGATGGTCTTTGGTGACCCACTCCGACACCCCCTCACAACCCCCCCAGGGGTCCCGACCCCCAGGTTGAGAATCACTGCTCTATATACTTTCTGCCTTGGAGTGTCTTCAGTCCTTTTTAGACTGTCCTTATATCCCAGGATCTGGTCCCAGGTTATCTACTTTGAAATTATATTCGTCCCCACTGCCATAGGATCTGGGATAAGCAGATAATCTGGTATCAGATCCTAGGATATAAGAACAGAATAATAGAATAATAGAGTTGGAAAAGACCCCATGGACTATCTAGTCCAACCTCGTTCCATGCAGAAAAAGCACAACCAAAGCACCCATGACAGATTGCCATCCAGCCTCTATTTAAAAGCTTCCAAGGAAGGAGCTACCACCAGACTGTGAGATAGAGAGTTCCACTGCTGAAGAGCTCTTCTTACAGTCAAGAAGTTCTTCCTAATGTTCAGGTAGAATCTCCTCTTTTGTAATTCTGCTTTAGATAGACCTCACCTGGAATATTTCGTCCATCACTCTGAGTTCTAGTTTCCAGGGCAGCAGAAAACAAGCCTGCTCCCTCTTCCTTATGGCATCCTTTCACATATTTATACATAGCTCCTCTCATGTCTCATCACAACCTTCTCTCCTGCAGGCTAAACATACCCAGTTCTTTAAGATACTCCTCATAGGGATTCATGGTCTCCAGACCGTTGATCCTTTTAGTTGCCCTCTTCCTCTGTTCACCTTCCAGCTTGTCAATATCTCTTTAGAATGGTGTTGCCAAGAAGTGGGCAGAATATTCCAGGTGTGGTCTAACCAAAGCAGAATACAAAGGCACCATGACTTTTCTCAATCTAGACACAAAAGCAGATTAACAATATAAAATTTAAACCAAGGAGCAAAAGGACTCTTCCTTTTATGACATCTCAAAATGGGACTGGGACCCACTGGGCATAGTGGCTGGATCATGGTTGAGGGAACCCTTTGGGACCGAGAAAAATTTCACCCTTGAGAAGAATGCCAAAGAATAGAGAGCTGTTTAAAATAAGGATCAAAAGGGATTCTTCTTCTGCCCTCCTGTACTGGCAGGCTGGTCCACCAGTAGACCCATTCTGAAAGGTGGGCAGTCTGCCACCAAGGAGTCTTCTCCCCAACAGCAAGGCCATCCCTGACCATGGGGACACATAGGACTCTCCATGGTCAGGTATAGGACAAGTACATGTTCCATCACATTCATCACATCAAGGGGTCAATGTGGATGATGATGTTACTGTACATACAGATTGGGGTGTTCTATGAGAACCAGGAGGGTCTCTCATGGGAAGAAATGGCTGTTTTCAGTGCAAAGAGTGCAGGATTAGAACACAGCATGTCCCAAACTACAAAGCATACCCTTCATAAATGAAAAATGGGGCATGCAAGGTCACGCAACATCAGAATGTGGTCAGATTGGTTCAGCCAGGCAAGAGAAGAACAGATGTTCATGGAGATGCATTCACAAAATTACCATATATGGAACAGGTGTACTAAGTTTGGGGAAAACAAAACAAAAACAGAAGTGAGACTCCATCTTTTCCCTTCCTATCCTCTTTGATGAATCAATTGATACAATTGACTTTTAAAAAATATTATATTCCATCTGAAGCATTTGAAGTAAGAGGAGGATAACAGTGGTAAAATGGGAGGAGGAGAGAGAAACTGGGACATTTTAAAAGTAGCTTTTTTTGTGTCAGGAGCGACTTGAGAAACTGCAAGTCACTTCTGGTGTGAGAGAATTGGCCATCTGCAAGGACGTTGCCTAGGGGATGCCAGTGTGTTCTGATGTTTTACCATCCTTGTGGGAAGCTTGTCTCATGTTCCCGCATGGTGAGCTAGAGCTGACAGAGGGAGCTCAACCCACTGTCCTTGGATTCGAACTGCTGACCTGTTGGTCAGCAATCCTGCTGGCACAAGGGTGTAACCCATTGTACCACTGGGGGCTCCTTAAATGTAGCTGAGAAAGTGGGACGACACATGGATTAACATGGACATGTGTTGGAGGTTATGGAAGAGTCTTTGAAAACGTTGACTTTAATGGCGAGAAACCTTGTGATGTTAGTTGCTTGCAGGAATTAAATAATGAAGATATGCACCCCAGCTATCATCGAAGATTAATTTATGGAATTTTTTTGGTGATATTGCTGTAGTAGATCTTGGCTACCAAACTGAAAAAGCAGTAAGATTCTGACCCCTTCTCTTTCTCTTCTTCCCGGAAGGCAATTAGATGGTTGCTGGAGGTACCATAAATATTGTCTGAATTTTTTTTATTTAAATTTTCCCCTTGCAAGAGATTTGGCTAACTTTTATGATCTATTTTTTTCTTCTTCTCTCCTATCTCCGTTGTGCCTTCAGGGGCAGTGAAAGAAGACTGCCGATTCTAGATTGCTTTCGGAGTTTGCTTTGCTGATGATGGATTACCATGTCAATTTAAACAGCATAGGATTAATTTGTTTCAATGATTTCTCTTTAGGCTGAATGCCAGCCTTTTTTTCCCTTCTTTTCTTGGTGGTGCTTTCTATCTTTCCTCTTGCTCTTTGGAATAAGAACAAGGGGGTGAAAACCACCCCATCCTCCTCGCCACCAAAGTCCTTCCGACATTCTCTCCCTTCTCTTTTTAAGGAGACTCTAATGGAAGTCGACAAGTTGGGTGTAAAGTTGCAAGGCACTCGCAGGCCTGAATGTCTTTCTTTAAAATCTTATTTGCAAAGGCCAGAGTCTCCTGTCAGTCACATTCAAATGAAATTGGATCTAACATTTATTCAATAAATACTTCTCTTGTAGGTAATCCAGAGGAGAGTGCTTTTGACACGCCAGGACTTAATTTGTCTCGGATAAGAAGTTATTAATATGGCACATTTAAACTTGCCTCCTGCAATAAGGTCATTCGGATCTTTTGAAACAAATCAGGGAACAGGTTGGAGGATTCTGGAAGGGAAGACATAGGGAATGGTTGAAATGGTTCCCACTGGGAATATAACAGAGACGAAGCCATTTGCAAGAGGGAGCATGGATTGGAAAATGACTTTCATGACAATGTATTGTCGAAGGCTTTCATGGCTGGAATCACTAGGTTCTTGTGGTTTTTTTCAGGCTATATGGCCATGTTCTAGAGGCATTTTTCTAGAGAAGCCATTGAAATCCATAAGCATGTGGACAAGTTCAACAGAAAGGAGGAGACCATGAAAATGAACAAAATCTGGCTACCAGTATTAAAAAACTCTAAAATTACAACAGCAAAACACCAGAGAGGAAACAAACAACCAGGCACATCTTAACACCTCTCAACAAAACATTTTCCCAGGCTCAGCCAGGCCTTCAAATGCTAATGAAGGTGGTCAGCTGAAACATTCACACCTAGCTGCAGCAGAGAGCTCTTTGCCCCACCCCAGTCATTCCATAGATATATAAACCCATTTTCCTACTTCCAACAGACCTCACTACCTCTGAGGATGCTTGCCATAGATGCAGGCAAAACGTCAGGAAAAATGCCTCTAGAACATGGCCATATAGCCCGAAAAAACCCACAAGAACCTAGACTTTCATGACAGTAGCACATTTTGTCGGCCCATGCTCACATGTGAAAATGAAGTCCTAGCGGTCAGCATGTTGTTGTTGTTGTTCATTCGTTCAGTCACTTCCGACTCTTCGTGACCTCATGGACCAGCCCATGCCAGAACTCCCTGTCAGCCGTCACCTCCCCCAGCTCCTTCAAAGTCAAGCCAGTCACTTCAAGGAGACCATCCATCCATCTTGCCCTTGGTTGGCCCCTCTTCCTTTTCCCCCAGCATAATTGTCTTCTCTAAGCTTTCCTCTCTTCTCATGATGTGGCCAAAGTACTTCATCTTTGCCTCTACTATCCTTCCCTCCAATGAGCAGTTGGGCTTTATTTCCTGAAGTATGGACTGGTTGGATCTTTTCAGAACTTTCCTCCAACACTACAGTTCAAAAGCATCTATCTTCCTTCGCTCAGCCTTCCCTGTGGTCCAGCTCTCACATCTGTAGGTGACTATGGGGAATACCATTGCTTCAAATATGCGGATATGACAAGACTAGGTGTTTAAATTAAGGAGGATCTCCCCTTCCACCACACTTAGATTGTCTCAATGCTTCCTATTTATAAAATGCAGTGGGCGCATCAGCATCTATATTGCTTACATCCAGAGAATTGTTCTCTGTGGCAAGGGAGGCAGCTCTTTGGAAATCAATTGAAAGATGGTAACGTGGGCCATTCTGCTTTTGTGTAACAGGCGTAAACATTGCTAAAACTTCAGGAGCCAGTGGGCAGCTCTGGGTGGAGAGGAGATGCATCTCTCACAGGCCATGCTTGGTTTCCAGGGCTAACATAAGGCAAAACGAAACAGAATTCTCAAGCAAACAAGCACTACGAGAGAACAGCTTGTTATTGCCTATTTAATTTCTTTATGATGTGTGTGTTCATAACTACCAGGGATGGGAGAAATGCTTGTGTGATTTTTTGCCTCAGGTTTCGAAATAATTGCTCTGGCCTAGAGTATGCCGCACCTTGACGTTGTTGGGATCATTTGCTGTTCTGACTCAGGCAGTGAAATGTCAGTAGGCTCTGGCCTGGAGAACATTTTGCTTCTTGGGTTTCTTATCGTACAAGTTGTTTGTTGAGGGGCAAAACTTGACTTCTAGGGCAACGAAAGTTGCCTATCTCTCCACCCAGTTTTGCAGAATGCTGCATTTGTGAGACAGCACCATTATTTGCCTGGAAATCAGTGCTTTTGGCTCTAAGCAGAAAGCCCTTGTGACTCTTGAAATTCTGTTGAAGATTGGTGGGGTCAAAATAATGGGAATATTAGGCAATATACATATGAGGGGGCTTTTTTGTCCCCAGGACAGGTGCAATTAAGATTATGGGTGCCACATACAGGGGCAAGCAATATAATGTGGCATTTCATTAGTGACATATATCCCATCCACTGTGTGTCTCTGCCTGTTCCAGAAGGAGGACTCCAACATCTCCCTGATATAATGACCCTCAACTTTCATGCATTTTAGGGTGTTGGGAGAAGACTGGATTGCCCTATCTGTGATCCATGATGGAAGCACTCTCTCAGACCTCCAGAGGATGACATCTATGGGTGCATCTACTCTGCAGAATGAATGCAGTTTGACATCATTAGCTACCATGGCTCAATGCGATGGAGTCATAATTTGGTGAGGTACCAGCATTCTCTGCTAGGCATGGATAAAGGCCTTCCAAAATGGCAACTCCCAGGATTCATTGGCATTGTGCCATGGTAGCCAAAGTGGCGTCAAAATGCACTCATTCTACCACACTCTGGAACTGTCTGACCCGGAGTGTGGTGGAGGCTCCCTCTCTGGAAGCTTTTAAACAGAGGCTGGATGGCCATCTATCAGGGGTGCTTTGAATGCAATATTCCTGCTTCTTGGCAGGGGGTTGGACTGGATGGCCCATGAGGTCTCTTTCAACTCTATGATTCTATGATTCTATGATTCTACAGTGTAAATGCAGAGTTGCAACAGTTCCACTATGGCTCCCAACCCATTTCTGGGCACAGTCAAAGTGCTGATTTTGACCTGTAAAATCCTATACAGCTTGGGTCCAGGTTATTTGAAGGACCATCTCTCTCTTTATGAACCTGTTAGAAATCTATGCTCAACTGGGGAGGGTCTTCTCTGCATTTACTGTATTCTGATTTTGTTTTTTTTACCGCAAGTTACTATTTAATTACTTTTTAACTTTCGTATTGCACTTTCTAAACTTGTGCAGTGCAGAGTTCTCACAGGGAGAAAGACAGGGTATAAATAAAGACAACAATAAAGGGTCATTTCGGAGTCTGCCTTCTACAGGCAGGGCAAGACCTTTATATGCCAGTAGGCATGGGGGGGGGGCACGAGGGGCACGCTGCTGGGGAGGTTGTGGGGGGAATCAGGTAGTATAATATATTGCCGAAGACTTTCATGCCCGGAATCACTGGGATGTTGTGTGGTTTCTGAGCTATATGGCCATGTTGCAACAGCATTTTCTCCTATTTTTTCAACTGCATCTGTGGATAGGATATTTAGCTTGAAATTCTATTTTAATAGTGCAAGTATTTTTATTGTATCTCAACAGTATTTCACTTGTATCCAAGACACAATATGTAATTGTTTTTAATTGTTTTTCATTTTTGTTTTTGCTGTTTTTAAATTTATTGGGTTGTGTCATGTAAATGGCCTGCAAAAAGGGTTGAGATGGCTGCATGCAGTCAGTGGGCTTCCTCATGCCGATGCCTGTTCTCAATGCATTTTTCTGCAACAAAGTCTGGTTAGTGGATTGATGGATTTTAGTAGTAAGAATCCAAACCAAAGTGGCCCATGTCTCTCTCTTTCCTGCTGTGCATCTATTGAGGTCCTGCAATGTGAAGCTGATATACTTATATCAACCCAATGAGGAGGCCAAATAAATTCACTGTTCTTGCATTTATCATAGGAATTCCCCAACAGACAGTTCTGATGGAAAAGGCCAAGGGTCGGTGCAGCAGACTTTTTCTAGATGCAAGGGGCAAGAGAAGAAATGAAATGAAAATCAAGCAAGAGAAATTGCTGACATAGTCTTCATATCCAAGAAATCTGCAATGAGTGGAAATGTATTTTCCATTTCTCCATGGGTAAGGCAACGCTTGCTTTGACTTACGTTTATTTGCATGTATAAGGAAGAGACCTGTCTCATTCCTGTATCCATTTGCCTAACTCAGCCATGGTCTAAGTGCCATCAAGTTGGTTCCCAAGACTAATTTTAGATTATGAGGATGATAAACAGGCACCAAAATGGCAATGATATAACATGTCATAAATAGCAAAAGCTCACATGCCCCAAACATTTCCCCCCTAATCTTCAAAAATGGAACTGGAAATGGATTGTGAGTTTCAAATTTTTGTCATAACCCATGATGGGCTCTAGGGATAGAAAACAGGCCCTACAACATCCATTTTGATCCAACTGGTGCATATAAACTGTATACAGATAGTTTTCTCTTTTGGGCATAGAAATAAGATTTAAATTTATGAGAAATATGGTGGAAATTTCTTGAAAAAAATTGATGAGAAGGATTTACTCTTAAAAATATTTACAGTTCAGCACAAAACTTGCATGTTTTTTTTTTTACAAAAGCAGTATTTTTTCCCCAAAACAAATTTTTGAACAGAAAATCACATCTCTGTGGAGAAACAGCATTGTGTGTAGAATTCAATATAGAGTGCTGTGCAGGAACAGCAATATGTGCAAGAAACGGACAATTCTGTAAAGAAAAACATATGCTGTGAAAAAATTGTTCAATGGTAATTTGAATAAACAACAACATTGTCCATGCACAAAACAACATTTTAGTCATTGTCCGTTCGGAAAAAATATATTTCTGTACAAAACTATTTCTTTCTTTGCAGAAAATACTGTTTCTTGCATATGTGCTGTTTTCTGTGCAAAAAAAATAAACATGGATTTTGCACAGAAAAAGTTCATACTTGCGAATTAATTCATTGCTTCCTTTAAGAAGAAACTTCATGAAGAATTGCCCCCTATTCTTTGTACAATATCAATGACACTATAACATTAATTCATGTCAGTCTAATGGGGTCAAACTGCAACAATTTCATAGTGTTGATCAGGCATAGGCAAACTTTGGCCCTCCGGGTGTTTGGACTTCAACACCCACAATTACTAATAGCCTACCAGCTGTTAGGAATTGTGGGATTTGAAGTCCAAAATACCCAGAGGGCCAAAGTTTGCCCATACCTGCTGTAGTTGCACTCTAAGTTCAGTGTAGACCCATATAATGCAGTTGGAACTGCATTGAATTGTATTATATAGGTCTACCTTGACCACATAATTCAGTTCAAGCTGCATTATTTGGCAATATAGAGCTTGTCTAATGAATCATATAGCAACTTATGATAATCCTCTGTACGGGACACATTTGAGAGATCCTGTTTCAAGCTGAGTCTCTCTTCTCTGAAATACGTGGGAGCAAAGGTTTTTAAGTTTTCAGCTTTCCTTTAAAAAAATGGAATCCTTGCATATACATACCTCACAAGATATTCTGGAGATGGGAGCCAAGCCTAAGCACAGAATTAATGAATGCTTCATACACACCTTATGAAAATTATTTTAAGCATAATAGTTTAAATAATTTTGAAACAGGAGTGTTTTAGAGTTTGGAATTTTTGATAAGGATGCTCAACCTGTAATAATAATAATAATAATAATAATAATAATAATAATAATAATAATAATAATCCAGCCTGGACACAGCATATTATTTGAGAACACAGAAATGCTGGACCACACCAACAACCACCATGTCAGACTACACAGAGAAGCCATTGAAATCCACAAGCATGTGGACAATTTCAACAGAAAGGAAGAGACCATGAAAATGGACAAAATCTGGCTACCAGTATAAAAAACTCTAAAATTACAACAGCAAAACAGCAGAGAGGAAACAACCAGGCACATCTTAACACCTCTCAACAAAAGATTTTCCCAGGCTCAGCCAAGCCTTCAAATGCTAATGGAGGTGATCAGTTGAAACATTCACACCTAGCTCCAGCAGGGAAGAGCTCTTTGCCCCACCCCAGTCATTCCACAGATATATAAACCCATTGTCCTAATTCCAACAGACCTCACTACCTCTGAGGATGCTTGCCATAGATGCAGGCGAAACGTCAGGAGAAATGCCTCTAGAACATGGCCCTATAGCCCGAAAAAACCCACAAGAACCTAGTGATTCCAGCCATGAAAGCCTTCGACAATACAATAATAATAATAATAATAATAATAATAATAATAATAAGAACAACTTTATTTTTATACTTACCAACAATCTCTCCAAGGGGACTCAGGGCAGCTTACAAGGGACAAGCCCAAAAATTATAAATAGAACACAAACAATTAAAAACATCAGATAAAATATAAAAACAATCACAATTGTAAACAACATCAAAACGATATGGTTGAGAAAAAGAACATAGCTGAGGTTCAGGTACCAGGTATTACACATTCAGAGTTTTTCCTCCTTTATTGAGTTGCTTTAGCTTTGTTGTGATCTTGGGCACACAAGGCCTTCTTTCCTTACAAAGACACAAAGAGAGCAGCTTCCCAAGTGACAGTCAAGGGAAGAAAGGATTAAGCTTGAGATATGGGTGAAGAAAGAAGGAAAACACTGGAGGAAGTCACCAGGGGCCACCTTCTGAAGTACTTGACCCAGGCAATTTCCCATGTCTTGTTTCCTCTGCTAACAAACGAACCCAACTCCAAATGACCCCATTTAAATTCTGAGAGGGTCTTTGGCAAAGCACGCCGAGCCATTCCGCATCCAACGTGTTTGCCCACCACAAGGATCTCTGACATAATCCGTCTTTAAATATTATTGGTCTAATTTGACTGAGCAATATTTGTTCACGCCTTGGCAGCTAATGTAAGGAAAACAAAAACGGGGGAATCCCATGAGTTTGAAGGATGGCGATCTACGTGGCTGCATTAACCTCGAGTTGTTTTTTGTAACCGAGTTGGAGCTTAGGACTCAAGTGGTATTTGACAGATGCACATTAAACTAGGAGAGGGAAGGGTTTGAAACCTCCACACTCCTCTGAATGTTACATTGCTACTAAATCATAGCGTTCTGGGGACTGCATTGGGGAGATCACATTACAATGCATTTTGCCTTTCTCTTCCTCCCCCACCTCTGCTCCCAACTAAAAATGGCTTGCAGCTGGTGCTCATTCTTCAAAGGGAGAACCATGCCATAAAGCCATCCTCCCCCAACTTTTTATTTGCTTGAAACATTAAACCACAAATCCCAGCAGCCCTCGAGGATGATAAGAGTTGTAGTCCCACACTTCTAGGAGGAAGGCCGGTTGCTGTGAATCCACAAAACGTGATTCCTTGAAATATCTCCTTAAGGGTTTGATGTGGACTGTAATTCTGCCCTGTATTGGGATCCTGTTGAACTAAAGCTGGGGGATCATTGCCTTTGAGCAATCTGGTTCATCTCTTACAACAGTGTTTCTCAACCTGGGGGTCGGGACCCCTGGAGAGGTCGCGAGAGGTGTCAGAGGGATCACCTAAGACTATCAGAAAACACAGTATTTTCTGTTGGTCATGGGGGTTCTGTGTGGAAAGTTTGGCCCAATTCTGTCATTGGTGGGGTTCATAATACTCTTTGATTGTTAGTGAACTATAAATCCCAGCAGCTACAACTCCCAAATGTCAAGTATCATTTCCCCAAACCAGTGTTCACATTTGGGCATATTGCGGATCTGTGCCAAGTTTGGTCCAGATACATCATTGTTTGAGTCCACAGTGCTCTCTAGATGTAGGTGAACTACAACTCCCAAACTCAAAGTCAATGCCCACCAAACTCTTCCAATATTTTCTATTGGTTATTGGAGTTCGGTATTCCAAGTTTGGTTCAATTCAATTGTTGGTGGAGTTCAGAATGCTTTTGATTGTAGGTGAAGCCCGGTAATTATAACTCCCAAATGACAAAATCAACCCCATCAGTATTCAAATTTGGGCATATTAGGTATTTGTGCCAAATTTGCTCCAGTGAATGAAAACACATCCTGCATACTGGATATTTCCATTATGATTCATAAGAGGAGCAAAATTACAGTTCTGAAGTAGCAACGAAATTAATGTTATGGTTGGGGGTCCCCACAACATGAGGAACTGTACTTAGGGGTCGCAGCATTAGGAAGGTTGAGAAACACTGTCTTACAACAACCCTGTTGGGTAAGGCAATGCTATTCATTCTACATTCAAGATGATTATTTGAAGATGAGACAGAATAGTCTGCCTGAAGGCACTGTAAATTAGATAATGCCTGAGGTGAGATTGAAAACGACGATGTGTTGGATTGCAACACAGAACAAATTGCACGCCTAGCTCTCATGGGACTAGATCATATGTTGTATCAATCTTAAAAAACTTAATGTTTTCAGGGCAGGGTAAAAACACTGTCACTTGTGACAACCTGAAAAGGCTCACACTCCTAATTAAATAGACATAGAGATTAAAACTATATATATATATATATATATATATATATATATATATATATATGGAGAATATAATCCACTCTTCCATTTTTGCTCCATGTAGAACCTGAAATGGAGGTGTCTCCAAGTCTCCGGTGATGCCCAAGAGTGTTTAGATGGAAGGTCTAGATGGAGACACCTATTGAAATGTGTCTGAAGAAGATTAATAGGACTTGTCAGTGTTGGGAAAGCACTGCTTTGCGGTAAATTTCTACCAGGAGAAGATGAATTACCGATGAATGCCCAGTTATCAACCCTATCACTATCATTCGACACTAAATCAAATTGAGTGCTTATCTGCAATTGGAATTTCCTTCCTTAAAATAAGAAAGAAAAGGGAAGAAAGGAAAGGAAAAAGAAAACATACCTTTCTGTTTAAAGCCTTTCAATATATAAACATAAGGCATGGATGAATTCTTCCACTGCCTTGTAGCCCAGGACGGAGGATAGTTTTTAAGCTCTTAATATGCAAGAGTTTCTTCCTGGGGCAAACTCAAAGGAAGGGATAGGAGGCAGAATGAGAGTGAGATTGGGAGATTCAGTCTCTGTCTATTAACTTGAAAACTTATTCCTAGAGCAGCTTTTGCCTCACCAGGATGTGAATCTTCAGTAAATTCATTCTCAAAGGAAGAAATGCGCCTTTCACCTTAAGAACAGACAAGCATCCCGAGCTCTGAGGATTACCTGGGAAGGAATCTCACTGGAGCATTGCAACACACCCAAATACCTGGGAGTCACTTTGGACCGTGCTCTGACTTATAAGAAGCACTGCTTGAATATAAAGCAAAAAGTGGGTGCTGGAAACAATATCACATGAAAGCTGACTGGTACAATACAACTTGGGGATCACAACTAGACACAATGAAGACATCTGCCCTTAAGCTTTGCTACTCTTCTGCTGAATACACATGCCCAGTGTGGAACACATCTCCCCTTGATAAAACAGTGGAAGTGGCTCTTAATGAGACATGTCACATTATCATGGTGTCTGCGCCCTACACCACTGGAGAAATTACACTGCTTAGCCGGTATTGCACCACCTGACATCCGCCGGGAAGTAGCAGCCAATAGTGAAAGGACCAAGGCAGAGACATCTCCAGCTCATCCCCTGTTTTGGGTATCAGCCAGCACGTCAACGACTTAAATCTAGAAATAGTTTTCTAAGATCTACAGAGACACTCGCTGGAACACCCCAGCAAGCAGAGAGTCCAAAAGTGGCAGGCCCAAACCCAGCACCTCAATCCATGGGTGATACCAGATGAGAGACTCCCCCCTGGGCACTCAGAAGACTGGGCGACTTGGAAGGCGCTGAACAGACTGCGCTCTGGCACCACGAGATGCAGAGCCAATTTTAAGAAATGGGGCTACAGAGTGGAATCCACGGCATGTGAGTGCGGAGAAGAACAAACCACTGACCACCTGCTGCAATGCACCCTGAACCCAGCCACATGCACAATGGAGGACCTTCTTGCGGCAACACCAGAGGCACTCCAAGTGGCCAGATACTGGTCAAAGGACATTTAACCAAATACCAAATTTGCAAAATCTGTGTGTTTTTTTTCCTTTTTCTTTTTAATCTCTGTGTTTGTTTTGCTCTGTTAGAATTGTAATACAATGGTTGCTGATGACACGATGACACGATAAATAAAGGAAGAAATGAGCAATTTTCATGTTTTTCTTCCCACTGCAATAAAGTACTTGACAACCCTACCATCTTTGAAGACTACTTCACAATTTGAGGCTTCTTCTGTGGAAAATTTGAAAAATTCTGTGCGGAAAATCACTTTTCTACACAGGATATTATATTCTGCGCTGAAAGGCTGTTTGCCACCCAGAAAATTCTGTTTTTCTAAACAAATCAACCACATGCATAATTTGCTCAGAATAAGTCTCTAATTATAGTGTGGGGAGGAATAGCTCTGCCTAGAAATATTATTTTCTGTGCAGAAAATTCTGTTTTTCTAAACAAATCAACCACATGCATAATTTGCTCAGAATAAGTTCCTAATTATAGTGTGGGAATATCTCTGCCTAGAAATATTATTTTCTGTGCAGAAAATTCTGTCTTTCTAAACAAATCAACTACATGCATAATTTGCTCAGAATAAGTCTCTAATTATAGTATGGGGAGGAATATCTCTGCCTAGAAATATTATTTTCTGTGCAGAAAATTCTGTCTTTCTAAACAAATCAACCACATGCACAGTTTACTCAGAATAAGTCTCTAATTATAGTGTGGGAATATCTCTGCCTAGAAATATTATTTTCTGTGCAGAAAATTTTGTTTTTCTTGTAAAGAGATCATAGGTGAATTTTGCCCAGAATAAGTGCTGAACTGTGAAGATTTTTGTCATTCCAGGATTGTTTTTATTAGAATTTCTCTACTTATGAAAACTCTTAGAATATTGTTTGCTAATTCTCAGTCAGTGTCTGTATGGCCTTTTTATTCTCTTTCAGAAAACAAGACATGTTGAGAAGAGAACTCCTGGATATGAGGAAAGACTTGTTTAAGCCCAGACCCTGCTTTCAATTATGACTTGTCCCAGGCCTTTTGGAAGACCACAAGTCAGGTGTGAAACCAATAGGGCTACCTCTTGTTCAACCGAACTTTCATGTTTCTATATATGCTTTCTTGTTGCTTGTTGATTTGTGGTGGTTGGTTACCCCATGACTTCCATAGGATTTTCTTAGTCAACGAAATCTCATAGGTGGTTTCAACACTTCCTTCCTCTGAAATAGAGTCTACAGCACCTCACCTTTCTTGGTGGCCTCCAAACAGCTATTAACAAGACCTGATCCTGTTTAGCTTCCAAGATCAGCCAGAATCTGATGGCTCTAGCATATTTTGGCATACTTGTATCAAAAAAGTAGAGTGCATCTGAACCAGAAGGTTCCATTTTGCTGTCTTGTGAAGTAGAAGATGTTGGAAAAGTTGCTTAATTGGATTACGACTTCTAGAAGCCTCTGACTATGTTAGCTGGAATAACCTCCCTGAATAACTCTTCCAAGTTTTTTTCCAATAGCACACTCACTTTGATGGGTTCAATTTGCTCTCTTTCAAAGCTATTTACACAATTAGTCACTGTTACTTGTACCACCACATTTTGCAAGTCAATAATCCATCTGTGTCTTGAAATGCACTTCTTTTTCTTTTCTGCCCTGAATTCTATTGCCATTTCATCTCAACAACGACTTTTATTTCTAGGGCAGATTATTTATTTATTTACTAGTCGTCCCCTGCCACACGTTGCTGTGGCCCACTTTGGTGGTCATGGGGGTTCTGTGTGGGAGGTTTGGCCCAATTCTATTGTTGGTGGGGTTCAAAATGCTCTGTGATTCTAGGTGTACTATAAATACCAGCAACTGCAACTCCCAAATGTCAAGACTCTTATTTTCCCCAAACTCCACCAGTGTTCACATTTGGGCATATTGAGTATTCGTGTAGAGTTTGGTCCAGATCCATCATTGTTTGTGTCCACAGTGTTCTCTGGATGTAAGTGAACTACAACTCCCAAACTCAACATCAATGCCCACTAAACCCTTCTAGTGTTTTCTGTTGGTCATGGGAGTCCTGTGTGTCAAGTTTGATTCAATTCCATCATTGGTTGAGTTCAGAATGCTCTTTGATTGGAGGTGAACTATAAATCCCAGCAACTACAACGCCCAAATGACAAAATTAATGTTTTTTGAATGAAGGACATAGATTGGGTTGTCAGGTGTCTTGTGTCCAAATTTGGTGCCAATTCGTCCAGGGGTTTTTGAGTTCTGTGAATACCACAAACGAACATTACATTTTTATTTATATAGATTTATTAACCATATTTATATACCGCCTTTCTCAGCCCGAAGGTGACTCAGGGCGGTTTACAAATGGCACAATTCAATGCCTACAATAACATAGAACAATGAAAACATTTAGCATAAGTAACATTTGATAAAATAAAATAAAACCGATAAAAGTATAAATCCACAGCATCTCATTACTAAAATCATTACCCAATTGCATTGTCCAGTCATTCCAAAGATCAGAGTTTGTCTGCTACACTGCATTTGGGAAAGCTTGCTCAAAAAGCCAGGTTTTAACTTTTTTTTCTGAAATGTTTGGAGGGTGGGGGCCAATCTGATATCCCTAGGGAGGGCGTTCCATAGCTGAGGGGCCACTGCTGAGAAGGTCTTGTCCCTCATTCCAGCCACAACTAGAAACCCTCCCAATATTTATTTATTTATTTATTTAGAGTTTTTATAACCCGGTCTTCTCGACCTCCGAGAAGGGACTCAGGCCGGCTAACAAAATAAGATTCAATACAATAAGAAAAACATTATAAATCATCAATATAAAATACATTAAAATGCAATTCATACAAGTTACAGCAAAAATCAGTTCGTCAAAAAGAATCACAAATTCATCGCCATCCACCAGAAAGGTCAGCAGTTATTGACTCAGTCATCATTCTGCAAATGCAGTATCCCAAAGCCATGTTTTACCAGCTTTCTAAACGTCAGGAGGAAAGAGGCAGATCTAATCTCCAATGGGAGGGAGATCCAAAGCCAAAGGGCCACCACCGAAAAGGCTCTGTCCCTCGTCCCCACCAAACGCGATTGCGAAGGCGGTGGGGCCGAGAGCAGGGCCCCTCCAGAAAATCTTAACAACCTTGATGGTTCGTAGGGGAGAATCCATTCGGACAGGTAAATAGGGCCAGAGCTGGACCACAGTTGCCATCAACCTGAGCTAGCCCAGTGAGATCACTGTGGATGATGGGACTTGTAGTCTAAGAAAGCCTATGAAGGAATAACGGAAAAGAGCTTTATTTTACAGTCCTTCCTCCAGCTCTATAAACTTTAAAACATTCTTTTAAAATCAGGGATAATAGAACCCATGATTTCTTAGAGGACATGGACCAATGGCAGATAATTCAGAACAGCTGGGATAGATAAACGAACCTGAAAAAACTAATCTGGACTTGATTAGATTGATTTGATATATAATCTACCTTTCCTCACAGGAACTCAGGGTAAGGTCTTGATAGACAGGGCAGGTGCTATGCACATAACTCATAATTAAAGGAGGGAGTATTGTTTGTTTATTGATTCTACTGTCCATTTGCTCGATCCAGACTGAGGTCCAAAACCATACAGTTTCAATACAGCAGAACACTAGAGACCACAGTTACTAGAGATACATGAAGACGACTGCTCTGTTGCAAATTTCTCCATTCTGAGCTAGTTGCTTGAATGTGTAGTGGACAACTTCAGATATCTTTGAGGGAAACATTATATGGATCAGTTTCAGTTTAGTTTCACACCAGGGTATGGCACTGAAACAGTCTTAACTGCTCTAATTAATGACTTATTCTGAAGGGAATACATGGGGCATTACTCAGTTGATCTTCCTGGATCTCTTGGTGGCTTTTGATACCATTGATCATGGCATTTTATTGGACCATTAGATGTCCCCTGCCATGCTTTGCTGTGGCCCAGTCTGGTGATCTGGAAAATAAAGTAATGAGAAAGTGTTGGTTTCTAATATATGTAATTTATTTATGCTTGTGGGTAAACAGTATTTGATTACGTTTTCTTGCCCTGGTGAAGGGAGTTGGACTGGATGGTCTTAAGTTTTTTCTATTGGTCATGGGGGTTCTGTGTGGGAACTTTGGCCCAATTCTATTGTTGGTGGGGTTCAGAATCTTCATTGATTGTAGGTGAACTATAAATCCCAGTAACTACAACTCCCAAATGTCAAGGTCTATTTCCCCCAAACTCTATCTGTGTTCACATTGGGGCATATGGAATATTTGTGCCAAATTTGGTCTAGATCCATCATTGTTTGAGTCCACAGTGCTCTCTGGATGTAGGTGAACTACAACTCTCAAACTCAAGGTCAATGCCCACCAAATGCTTCTAGTGTTTTGTGTTGGTCATGGGAGTCCTGTATGCCATGTTTGGTTCAATGCCATAATTGGTGGAGTTCAGAATGCTCTTTGATTGTAGGTGAACTATAAATCCCAGCAACTACAACTCCCAAATAACAAAATCAAAATTTTTTGAGTGAAGGACATATATGGGGTTGTTAGGTGTATGCTGTCCAAATTTGGTGTCAATTGGCCCACTGGTTTTTGAATTCTGTTAATCCCACAAACAAACATTACATTTTTATTTAGATAGACTAGCCGTCCCCTGCCACACATTGCTGTGGCCCACTTTGGTGGTCATGGGGGTCCTGTGTGGGAGGTTTGGCCCAATTCTATCATTGGTGGGATTCAGAAGGCTCTGTGTTTGTAGGTGAACTATAAATCCCAGCAACTGCAACTCCCAAATGTCAAGACTCTATTCTCCCCAAACTCCACCATTGATCACATTTGGGCATATTGAAAATTCGTGTAGAGTTTGGTCCAGATTCATCATTGTTTGTGTCCACAGTGTCTCTGGATGTAGGTGAACTACAACTCCCAAACTCAATATCAATGCCCACTAAACCCTTCTAGTGTTTTCTCTTGGTCATGGGAGTCCTGTGTGCCAAGTTTGATTCAATTCCATCATTGGTTGAGTTCAGAATGCTCTTTGATTGGAGGTGAACTATAAATCCCAGCAACTATAACTCCCAAATGACAAAATCAATGTTTTTTGAGTGAAGGACATACATTGGGTTGTTAGGTGTCTTGTGTCCAAATTTGGTGTCAATTCGTCCAGTGGTTTTCGAGTTCTGTTAATTCCACAAACGAACATTACATTTTTATTTATATAGATTTATACACTGTTTCGGCTCCTATCAAGAGGTCAATTCCAGAGAGAGGCAGATAACTCAGTCTTCTCAATAGCCTTGAGAGCAGATTCCTCTGTGTATATAGATTTCTCTGCTTTAAAGCTAATCTTCTTTCAAACTCATGCAGACTAGTAGGAGAGTTCATATTGAGTTTGAAAAGTAGGCTATAAATGGTTTTAATAAGCAAGCACATTTTTCATTGCTTTGGGGGTCTAGATCCAGCCTGCACAATTGACAGTTGTCTCTCTTTGGTCGAAACATCTGGCTGGCGAGGTGCATCCATTGACATTTGGCCCTGGTTTTTCCTGGCTTAAATGCATCCAGGTGTTTCCTTGTTTGTCTTTTTTCAGTTTCTGGATGGTCCCACCAAATTGCAGCCCATACTGTCAGGGACGACTGCCAGGAGTCAATCACCTTTGATTTCATCTGATGGATTCAATTCTTGGAAAGCTGGGAATGTTCTCTGAAAATGAAAGTCGGGAAGGAGGGAGGGAGAGGTTTTGATTTATTTCAAAAAGCCAGGTTGTTTCAGCAGGCCTTTGATGCTTAGGGCTGAGAGGTAGATCTCAAAGCGGAATAATGCTCCATTCAGAACTTTAATGGCCTTCAAAACTTCATTCAAGGAATCACGAAACATCTGCGTTTATTACAGTCGTCATCTGATGCATCTACAGCCCAAATAGCCAGATTGATATGCTCAAATGTCTCCATGATAAGACTAATCTGTGGCTTTATCTCTCTTTTCCTACCCAAAAGAATCCCTTGTTGGTCAGGCATTGCTGGACATTGAATGAGTCATTGTCTATTATT